TCAGGAGAAGGCAGAATGGTTCTCAAGGATAACACATCTCCAGTGTGCAGACAGGGGCTTTCACAGACCAGGGAGGGTGGGGATGGGTAGAGAGCCTGAAGAAGGATGACCTCTCTGCCTTTCCCAAAGCCACACTTGCAGCAAAGTCACCACTTACTCAGGCAAGAGCTGAAGGGCCTGAACTGTGATGCACCAGAATAAACAATGCGGAGGGCAACTAATGGGATCCAGAGGTTGAGGACCACACCGAGTTTGGTTTCTAGCAGAAACCCATTTTTCTCTTCCTAAGATTGTATCCCCATAAACTAGTAGATTCCTTATTTCTTCATTCACTCATTTTCTCTCCAACCATGCTTTTATTCCCTCCACTCCACCAAACTCACTCATGTTAAGGTCAATTCCTAAAATGCCAAATTCAACAGTAATTCTTTGTTGTCATTTTCTGTGACCTACCAGCAGTATTAGTTGAAGTTAATGTCCCTTGCTTCATTGAAACGTGGATTCCAGGACACCAGGTTCTCCTCCTAGCACAGTCGGGGTCTCCTTTTCAACCTCCTTGAGTTTTTCTTCACTTCTTTGACCTTGGAGTGTCCCAGGGCTCTGTCCTTGGACTCTTCATTATTGACAATTACTCTTTTGTAGCTCACTCCCATCTAGTCTCAAAAATTTTCTATGCCATCTATAAGCTGATGATACCTCCACTGGATCTCCCCTCTCTGTCTTGCACATCTTTCTGCCTACTCAGCATCTCCACATGGATGTCTATTAAGCCAACATGTCCCCACTGAACTCCTGACCTTCTCTGCCAAACTCTTCCTCAGCTCAGTGATGGGCAACTCCAACTGATGTGATTTGGATATGAGGTATCCCCCCAAATAACTCCTGTGTTGATGCACAAATGTTCAGAAGTGGAATGATGGGATTGCAATAGCTGTAATCTAATTAGTCTACCCTGCCTTAAATGGACTAACTGGATGGTAATTGTAGGCAGGTGGTGGGTGGTAGAGGAGTGCCCTGGAAGGTTCATCTTCCCTTTACATTCCTTCTCTCTACCCTCTCTCTGCTTCCTGGCCACCATGAGGTGAGAAGCTTCCCTCTGCCATGCCCTTCCAATGATGTGCCACCTCACTTTGGGAGTTGGCTGACCATGGACTAAACCTCTGAAACTGTGAGCCAAAATAAACTTTCCCTCCTCTAAGTTGTTCTTGTTGGGTGTTTTGGTCACACTGACAAAATGCTGACTGACACACCAACTTTCCAGTGCTCAGGCCAAAAAGCTTGGATTCAACCATGAGGGCTCTTTCCTCCACACCTGCAGCAAACAAAACACATGTGTGTTCTTTGCCCTTGGGAGATTTATATTACACTGGGGGCAAAAGGAGGGAGCAAATAAAAAGTAGATATATATATTAGGAAGTGATAAGAAAGCAGAACAGTATGATATTTAGTCTATGACAGAAGGAGGAACAACTTTTCCTCCAAGTCAGGCAAGAAAAGATGGTAGTAAGTTTGAGGTAGAACTAGCACTTAAGATTGCCTCCATATTCAACCTGGAGTGAGAAAAAGGAGGGGAAGCCACATCGAAGTGGGATGTAAAAGAGGTAGCACGGTTGGGTCAGGATAGATCAGAGTCATGAAACATTGGAAGAGCCATCAGAGAGAGGCCAGCTGACACTGGACGCTTGGTTGTGGGTCCCTCTAGTGGTGCTTACAAGCCAGGATACAGGAGGAGATGAACTTTGGAATGATCTCTGCTTGAGTTGTATTGTGAGGTATGACCGAAAGAAGTGGACATGAGGAGAAGGTGCTAGTAAGACTAAAATGGTGATAAAAGGATGCAGGCCAATTGGAGAGAAAAGGGAATCTAAGAAGGTACTGACAAAGGAAGCAAAAGGAATGAATGGACAAAATGGCTCGAGGAGCCTGAGTAAAAGCAGTAGGGGGATAACAGGGAGCAAGGGTAGGACTTCATAACCAGAGAGTAGGTAGAACATAAGTTTCCCATAATCTTCTAGTTAATCCCCAAAGAGGTGGGGCCACATGATTTACGGGAAAGGGCCACACCCTGTGTTGATGAATGCTAGTGGAAAATCCATCTAAGCCTGAGATGGCTTGGAAGGGAACCTGGATCTTAGGCACCATTTTTGGGAGCTAAAAATCTGATTGTATCAGGACACCAAGACCAAACCAATTATTTTAACAGAGATAATCGAATTTGAATGTTAACAGACAGTGAAGAGGTGAGAAGACAAAATGTGGGCACTGGAAAAAAAGACAAGAGTCAAAGATTATTCCAATTTAGAAGCTTCATGAAGGCACCTCAAGGCGCTGCGGTCAAACCTCTCAGGAGTGGACACCACTCAGCAGGTGCCTCAGAAGCTCTGCAAGCACCTACATGGCTGAGATGCAAACCTGAGGAGGGGTGCCCCAGCAGGTGCTATGATCTCTTGAGTGACACAATAATGCTGCACATTGGAAGCCACTGTTCTTTCAGGAATGAACTGTCACTGCTATCTGTGGTGCCATCCTTAGGAATAGGGAGCAAACAGGAAGGAGCAGATTCCTTCTCCTCTCCTCCAGGTTCCAGTCTTTTTTATTCCTGTTGCAGCCAGCAAAGGAGAGAAGTGGTCTGCAGTCTCCTGGCAAAGCAGAGTACAAGAGTGTGTTTGGAGCTGAGACAGCAGCTTCACAACCAGCACACGTGACCAGATCCGGCCCTCCCCTCACGAGACATAACTGGTCAAATGCAAAGTTCCTAATCAAAGGTGAGCAAGAAGGCTCTAGAATTTCAGAGACCTCTAAAATCTACTGCTAATTTTCAATTAAATAAATTGTATAAAGGACGAAAAATACATGTATTTTGGGGCCCATGTGTAACGTTAGTTTCTTCCAAGGAACTGTAGTAAGAACAAGTCAAAGCATATCAAACTGACTTTCCCAAAATGAGAAATCAGAAACATCCTCTTAGACTAAGAAAGTAATTTTCTATGGGAGACCAACCTCACACGTGACCTAGTCACTCCCTGGCTGGGTGATTGAGGTGTTAGGCAGCAGCCATATGCTAGACTGCCCTGCCCTTCTTGGGTTCAAGTGATGGTGTCTTTGTGCATGGGTGTGTCTTCCTACAGCCCCATGGGAGGAGCTATGCTCACCTGTTCCTTTGTAATATTACCCCTTGCCCTGTTTGCGATAGAATGTTCCATGGAAATACCCTCTGTGTGTCCCCTTATCTTACTGTGCCCTTGGGTGTGGCCTACCTAGGTGTCAGTCAACCTGCTGACAGTGGACATCATGAAGCTAGACTCAGCCCCCTGAAACCTGACCCCTTGCCTCATTTGAATGGCTTCTCCTCAATAAAAGGAGTCAGCAAGTGTGAGCTCCGTGCGCGCATACTCTCTCTCTCTTTCTTCGGACCCTTAAGGTCAGAGGAGCTGTCACAGCAACCCCAAAGAAAAAGGTATTTCTGCTTCTTGTGTGGTTATTTCGTGCAGCCCAGTTCACTGGAGTGACCCCTGAGTGTTTTAGTTGTGAACAAAACCCGGCAATTTTCTAGTCTAAGAGATTTGATAAGCAAGTGGGAGAACCACTGAGCTCTAATGGAGATTTGAAAAGTACACAAGAGCTAGGTGCTTCTGTCCGAAAAGATGAGCAACTAAGAATCTTGATAACAGTCCAGAACTCCTTTTGGCATGTACTCCATACCTTTTTGTCTTTGAACTGCCTTTATTATGTTTCATTTGTGGCTTTTCTGTAAGTAAAATCATGTTGTACCAATATCCACAGAAGCAACTCAAGTGAATGCTTAGTTATATCTGAGGAGGATGAGGCACTGTTGGATTTTTTCCAATTTAGATAGATATGACCTCAGAACATAACACATTTGACAAAAGTCTCATTGAGTTTGAAGGCTAAGACATTTGAATTTATATGTATATATAACTTTAGGGACTGAATTAAACAAATATAATAGAAACTCATCTGTAGTTTATCCAATATTGTTCATGAGGCTCGGAAAGCAATTGTGATGGTTCATTTTATGTGTCAATTTGACTAGGACTTGGGATGTTCAGATATTTGGTTAGACATTATTCTGTGTGTATCCATGAAGGTGAGATTTAGATTTGGATTGGTAGTATGGATGGGTATCATCTAGTGTGCTGGAGGCCTAAATAACACAAAAAGTGGGGTTATGCTACGATATCAGTCCTCTCCTGCCTTTGGCCTGGAACTTAAGCCATCAGCTCTCTTGGTTTTCAAGTCTTTGGACTTAGGAACTTACACCACTGGCTCTCTTGGCCCTTGGTCTTCATATCACTGAATCCAGGCTGGAATTATCAGTCTCTAGAATGCAGATGGCAGATAATGGGACTTCTCAGCCTCCATGATTGCATGAGCCAATTCCTTCTCTCTTTTTCATACACACATATGCATGTTCTATGTATATCTCCTATTGGTTCGGATTTTCTGGAGAATCCTAATACAAGTTTTGTACATTGATTCCATGATGCCATCAAAGAACAAGGCTTTATCTTCAGCTCTGCCATTTTTACCACATCTCTCTCAGGATGGCTGCTAAGCACTGCATCAAAACTGCAGGGGAAGAGTGAAATGGGTGTGCCTGCTAAGTCTCTTACTCTTAGAAAAGCAGTAGTATTTCTGAAAGTCCCATCAAATAGACTTCTACCTATATCTTGCTGGTAGAACCATATCATATGGCTAACCCCAACAACACAAGGTCTTATGAGAGGAAATAGCTTTAACTGTACATTACTCTGAATAAACTAAGGTTCTGTTACTAAAGAGAATGAAAATATGGTAAGCAACTAGTGATGTCTACACCATACCTATATGGCATATAACCTGAACAGCAAAAGAAAAACAAAAACAGTCAAATCTTCAATGAAATAATCATCTTATAAAACTAAAATTTAGCAAACAGTGCCAAAATTCACCTGATTTGAAAATAGGAACTTCACAAAAGCTTTTATACAAACAATCACTGAATATGAAAAAGGTACTCAACTTTATTAATCATCAAGAAAATGCAAATTAAATCCACAATGTGATACCATTATAACCCACCAGAAGGGCTAAAAATGGAAATGACAGATGTATCAAGTGTGGCCAGATGGAGAATAACAAATTCTCAAATCCTGCTGATGGGAGTGTTAATTGGTTTAAGACCTTTAGAAAATTCTTTAACAATATCTTCTATAGCTGAATATATTCTACTGTATACCCCCAAAAGTTTCATACTTTAGTACATAATCTATAAATACTTATATTTGTAAAAAAAAAGTGTTTAAATGTTCATGCATAAAAGGAAACAACTCACATGTCCATCAACAGAACAGATAAATTGTGAGCTATCACAATGAGAATGAAAACCACAACTACACACAAGGATAAAGATCAAGAAACCCTGAACTGAACCAAAGAAATTAAACAACAACAACAAAAAAATCAAGTCTACAGTCTGATTCCATTTACAAACAAACTTTTTTTTTCATTAGTACATTATAGTTATACATAATACTGGGTTTTGTTTTGACATAATTATACCAGCATGGAATATCATTTGCTCCAATTCAGTCCTGTTCCCTTTCCTTCCTCCTGCCCATTCCCTTTATTCCCTTTCCTCCTCTGTACTGGTCTTCTGTTTGGAGGTTTTTTGTTTTGTGTTTAAGTAGTGCATTACAGATATACATGAAAGTGGAGTTCACTGTGATATATATATTCACATTTATACATAAGATAGTTTGGTCATTTTCATTCCACTATTTCTCCCTTTTCTAGTCCTTCTCTCCCCTCAATTCTCTTCCTCCACTCCACTGATCTCTCTTGTGTTTTCATGGGATTCTCCCTCCTTTTTTAAATTTATTTTGTTCCAACTCTTGCATAAAAGAGAAAACATTTGACTCTTGACTTTCTGGGTCTGGTTTATTTCACTATGTTCTCCAGTTCCACTCCAGACCAGCTAATGCCGTAATCTTCTTCTTCACGGCTGAGTAAAACTCTACTGTGTATACATACATTTTCTTTATCTATTCATCCACTGATGGCCATTTTGGCTGGTTCCATAACCTGGACATTGTGAACTGCACTGCTATGAGCAATGATGTACCTTTATCACTATAGTACACTGATTTTAGCTCCTCAGGATAAATGTCAAGGAGTGGGACAGCTGAGTCATATGGTGATTCCATTCCTAGTTTTTTGAGGACTCTCCGTGCTGCTTTCCAGAGTAGTTGCATTAATTTGCAGAGCCGCCAACAACGTATGAGTGTACCTTTTCCCCCACACCCTCACCGGCATTTACTATTATTCATATTCTCAATAATTGCCATTCTGACTGAAGCAGGATGAAATCTCAATGTAGTTTGGATTTTCATTTTTTGCTTGCTAGAAATGTTGAATGTTTTTCATGTACTTGTTGGTTGTTTGTATTTCTTCTTTTAAAAAGTGTCTGTTTATAGTTCTTTTGCCCATTTATTAATTTGTTTGAATTTTAGTCAACATGCAAATTTTTAAAACAGGCAAAACTTACCCAGTGAGTGGCTACTAATAGGAATTAGATTTCTTTGTGACAAATATGTTTTAAACTTAAGACTATGACCATAGTACTACAACTCTGTGAATATTACCAAAAAGTCACTGAATGCGTTAAGTGGGTAAAAATTATGGCATGTGAATTATATAGCAATAAAGATCTTTAAATTAAAATGTTAGAAATCAGGTCCATGGCTGACTGATTAGAAAGGGGCAGAAGAGATTTCTGGGGATTTGATAACATCTTTTCTCATTTGGGTACTGGTTACTTTGACAGTTTACTTTGGTACTCTTACATGTTATAATTGAATTAAAAATTTATATTAAGAAATGTAATCTAGTGCTACCTACGCCTTGGGATATTCATTCATTCATTCATTCATTCATTCATTTGACCCTGCATCTAACAGAAGAAAAAGTAGGCCCTAATCTCCATCATGTGCGATTAGACCCAACTTCCTATAGCACAAGAATTAAAATCAAGAATCAATAAATGGATGGATTCAAACTAAAAAGTTTCTTCTCAGCAAAAGAAACAATCTGTGAGGTGAATAGAGAGTCTACATCTTGGGAGCAAATTTTTACTCCTTACACATCAGATAGAGCACTAATCTCTAGGGTATATAAAGAACTCAAAAAGCTAAACACCAAAAAAACAAATAACCCAATCAATAAATGGCCAAGGACATGAACAGACACTTCTCAGAAGACAATATACAATCAATCAATAAATATATGAAAAAATGTTCATCATCACTAGCAATTAGAGAAATGCAAGTCAAAACTCTCACTCCAGTCAGAATGGCAGCTGTTATGCATACAAACAACAATAAGTGCTGGTGAGGATGTGGGAGAAAAGGTACACTCATACACTGCTGGTGGGACTGCAAATTGGTGCAGCCAATATGGAAAGCAGTATGGAGATTCCTTGGAAAACCGGGACTGGAACCACATTTGATTCAGTTATCCCTCTCCTCAGTCTATCTAAAGGACTTAAAAGAGCATAATTCAGAGGCACAGACACATCAATGTTTATAGCAGTACAATTTACAATAGCTAAACTGTGGAACAACCTAGATGCCCTTCAACAGATGAATGGATTAAAAAAATGTGGCATATATACACAATGGAATATTACTCAGCAATTAAAGAGAATGAAATCATGGCATTTGCAGGTAAATGGATAGAGTCGAAGAAGATAATGCTAAGTAAAGTGAGCTAATCCAAAAAAAACAAATGCCAAATGTTTTCTCTGATATAAGGAGGCTGATTCATAGTGGGGTAGGGAGAGGGAGCGTGGGAGGAATAGACAAATTCTAGATAGGACAGAGGGGTGGGAGAGGAAGGGAGGTGGCATGGGGTTAGAAATGATGGTGAAATGTGATGGACATCATACCCAAAGTACATGCAAGAAGACACGAATTGGTGTAAATATACTTTGTATACAGAGAGATGAAAAATTTGTGCTCTATATGTGTAATATGAATTGTAATGCATTCCACTGTCATATATAAATAAAAAATTAATTAAAAAAAGAAATGTAATCTAGTGCTACCTAGGTTTTGGGATTATTTTTATCTATTTATCTATCTATCTATCTATTTATTTAGAATCAAGGATTGAGACCGGGTGCTTATCCCCTGAGCCACATCCCCAGCCATTTTTATGTTTTATTTTGAAACAGTTTAACTAAATTGCTGAGGCTGGCTTTGAACTTGGGATTCTCAAGCCTCCTGAGCCACTGGGATTCCAGTGCCACCATGCTCAGCTTGGGAAATAATTTTAAAGGGATGAACAAACCACTTTCCTCTCAAAAGGAATCATGCTAGATTCCCTGTATCTATCTCCACCTCAGTCGTCTTACACTTTAACTGGCCACCACTTTATTTACATTTTGTTTAATCCTGCTTTACCCAACAGTGTACAGCTCACCTATGCTGTCTATCCCCCACAGATGGCTTATGAACTGCCTTTGTTATTCTATGGACAAGTCTTCTCAATTTAGACTTAAGAATTACTGCTTCAGAAGTTCTTAGTATTTAGAGTACTCAAGGTTTTATCATCTGCTAAATTTCACACTAGCCTTAAGAGCAAAGTGTTATTTCTATACTAAAAAGTTAAAAAAGAATCCTTTTATTTTTTAAAAAAGAGTCCTTTTTATTTTTACCTATATTCATCTAACAAGTAATTTCCTTCCTTAACTTTGCTGATACTTCCTCTTAATCAGTGGTTTTCAAACTGGTGGTCATGATGCATTAAAAGGTTGTAAACTGATTTAGAGGTTTACAAACAGCATTTTTTTTTTTTTAAGAAACAATGGAATAGAAAAGTACAAGAATGCCTCACACATGGTGGAAAGTGCTTTTGTCTGAGTTACGTATGTAGGTGTGTACAGGATACTATGCCTCCATCACTACTGACTGCTGGGAGCTATGGTCAAAAAAATCTCTAGAGCTACAACTCTAACTCCCCTGTGTCACAGGAGGACAGAAAGTTCAATCCAGGCTCAGACTGCAACATTCATGGCTCATAATGTTTCCTAAGTCTTAAAGGAAGCATAGTTTGAGGGCAAAGGGGATTTGATTTTGGCAGGGTGCAAAACTGGAGTTCAAAAAGGACAGGAGGGCAGACTGTGGGAATGACTCGACAATGACACAAGACGCTCGGTGAGCGAATCTGAGCTCACCAGAAGACTCAAAAAACTTCTGAGCTACTGTCCATGGTGAAGTTATATGTTAAGGTCAAATGCTGTGAGAAAAAGTTGACAAGTCTGACAATTATTTCAAAGTTAGTACTTAAGGATAGGCAAGAAACTAAACAAAAGGAAGTGGCCTAGTTATACACAGTTACCAATATCAGCAATGCAAGGATTAATTTAAGCATGTTGTATAAAGTACTCTGGTTTATAATGGGGAAAAATAAATAGTCAATGATTTCATAATAAATGACTTTGGCTGATGTAAAAAACATTTTTTTTTAAATGGGCATGGTTCCAAAATCTTGAGTGGGGCCAGCTCATACCACAGCTGCTGCTGCCAGACACAGTGCATCCCCTAGTTATTCCACATCACCAGAACTTATTTTTAAATTTCAAAGGATTTTAAGGTTACTGTTAACCATTAAAGTACTAGCATGTGGTTATAATTCAGCCAATGGAACTGCAGTCTATGATGAAAACCAGTTGCCATAACAGTGTTCCCATAGTGACTCCCTGGGGACCAGTGTTGGCTCTGGCTCACTGGACAGCTGGAAACTCTTATATCAATATGCTGTGAGAAAGTGTTTTTCGGCTCAAGACTCCCAATATGATACCATACCAGAAATTTCTATGGGATAAAGTTATGCTTTCTGGACTTCATGGGAGTATACTGGGGCAGGGAGGAAGCACAATCCATTAAGTTGTGCTCCTGGAGATATTCAGACAAAAGAAACTTAAACTCAACTCCTTCATTCAAACAGTCCCACTTAGCACTACTACTCTTCTGTGGTAAGGAGCACTAATGGGAACACTGTGTGGCCGGAAAAGAGCCAGTGACATGAATCGCCAAATTCAACCCTACCAAAGACCCTGAAACACTTTTTTTAAATCTTTTCCAAGCAGTTTCCTTTGTCTCCAACAACAACAAAAAAGACAGTTGAATTTCTAAGTTACTCACTGAGATCAAACCCCAGAGTGCTTCAGGTACTGGAGTACATCAGGAAATCAACAGAAGGATGAGCTTGACACCAGAGTCATACAGCTATCGATCTTATTTCCCAGTCCTCCAGGTTCTCCCTGAGCATTCAGGGCCCACAACAAAAAGTTCTGTTATTAGTGACAACTGCTTGCTTCACTCAGGTCTCTCAGGGCCTTTCCTTCCTTCCTACAAGATCCAGACTATCCTGTGTCTCTCCCTCTGTGTCAATTCTTTGGCCTGTTTTACTTTCCTAATTTCCCCCCAAGACTGAAATTATATCTATGAATTCCAGATTTCTGAAGTCTCTCTGTTCCAGTGCTGAAAAATACTGTTGTCTTCAGTGACAGTGACACTCCTAAGGAAACTCAATACAGATGGTCCCTGACTTATAATGGTTTGACTGAACAGTTTTTCAATTTTACCAGTTGTAAAAACAATAAGCATTCAGTAGAAACCATAATTTGAATCTGAATTTGGATCTTTTTCCAGGCCAACCATTTGCAGTAGGATCTTCTTTCTTGTTGCTGGGCAGTGACAGCACCCTGAAATGTCTTCCACCATATTCAAAATGGTTAAGTCACAACCTGTAGAATGTTACCTTTTTTTCCCAAACTCCCACACTGAAAAAGGAAAACAACATGAAATTAACTGACTACCAAGCTATTGCCTAACTGTGAATGAAGAAAAAATAATTTAAGCAGTATTCATTCAACAATATTTTTAAGTAAGTCCTTATTCAACAAGACCACATGTTGAAACCTTCTCATAGAAGTCTGTTTCTCACTTATGCTATTAAGTTCCCATATGATCTATCTAATTTAATCATAAGAAAAGGCTTCCAAAGGTAAGGGGCGGGGGCCAGTGGTGAACAGCCCTGACTCAGGACAGCAGACTTAACCACCACCAGGCAACTAACCAGCAGAAACAATCCTGTCTAGGCACAGCCATGGACCACAATGGGCCAAAAACAACTTTCAATCTTTCTCAAGAGCGGGCCAGAATAAGTGATATGAATCTAACATCAACCCAGTGGCCTCTAGAATTCATCCTCTGATTTTAAATTCAGAACTGGCTGAAAATCAGTCATGGAGCCCAGACACAGGAAAAAACTTAATGGCTCCATTATTACTGCTGCTATTGTTAACACTGACATTATTACTATGACATGAGTACACAGAGCCCCTAACCACACAGTTTGTGAAGGTACTCAAGCTGCCCTCTAATAACAACATAATAATAATAACAATAATAATGACACAACAGCTAATATTTACTGAGCTCTTATCCATTTGCCAGGCAGTATTCTAAGCATTTTATTTTGCTTTAACACAATAATAATGAAAATGAATTATGTACTATTATTACCATCACTGTAAGCTAAGGAAGCTGAGGCTTAGCAAGATTAAGTCACTTAACCAAAGTCATACTATTAGTAGGCAGAGCTGAGATTCTGGGAAGCTCTGACTTTGGGGACTCCCATTCTTACATTATCCAGTATCCATTTCACCCGTTATGTAACGTTCTATTTACTCACATTATTTCATTAACTTGGTACTCTAAACTCTAAAGCAGATGATCAGTTGCAATGATGAAAGTATAATACTGTGCAAGACCCAGAACAAGTCCTCACTTTGTAGAAGACCAAAGCTAAGGCAGTGAGTTCAGTTCTGGCACCTTCTTCCTGTTTGGCTGGGCACAGCTGGGAACACAGTCCAACTCTCGGCTGGCTTCGCTATCTGTTTCCCCTCACCCTGAACCTTGGCTCATGGGCAATGCCTTCTTAGAACTTAGGTCAGTAAGATCTATTACCAATGTTTTTTTAACTCATACTTCCTATTAATTCTAGCTGCACTGAGAAATGACAAAAGTGCACTCCTTAGAAAATAAAAGCAAGCTTTGAAACACAAGAAAAATAACACTTTAGTTAACAGAACATTTACATTCACATTCTATTGCAAGATGACAAAAGTTCAGAAACCTTTAACAGTTCATTGAATGGTCTAATATTTTTAATGAAATATATAAAATATTTTCTGTGACATACATAAAAGATAATGTGCAAATTATCATATTATACAGAAAGTTAAGTCCATCCTCAATTCTTTTTTTTAAATTATCTAACTACAATTTTCAGGTCTAGTGGGAAAAGGTAGTTTTTAAACCCCTTATGTCACTGCTGCCTATGCATTTAAATGATGGGGAAAACTTTATAGAATTCAATTTTTCAACTTTTTTTTTGGGGGGGGGTGGTGCTGGTAATTTAACCCAGCAGCACTTAAATACAGAGCCACGTCCCCAGCCCTTTTTATTTTTTATTTTGAGACAGGGTCTCACTAAGTTGCTTAGGGCCTCCCTAAGTTGCTGAGGCTACCTTTGAACTTGCAATCCTCCTGCCTCAGCCTCCCACAGCAGTGGGATTACTGGAGTGCACCACCATGCCCAGCTAATTTTTCACCTTTTAAAAATAAAAACAAGACAGAAAAATCAGTTTGCAGTCAGACATGATATGAAAGCCAACACAGTTCTTAAAACTGATCACGAATTGTATCAGGTAAACTCAGAGACCAGAAACTCCAGTTTTCTTCTTCCTTCAATCTTGCTGGTGATGCCAGGAGTCCATACCCTGCTTCCTTAAGTTTCTCACTGTTATTTACATATCGAACATAGGTCTCACAGTGCATTGTACTCCACACATTTTGATGGATCTGTAGGAAAGTGTTTCTGGCAAATAGTCATTAACCTCTTCAATCCCTAAGAACACAAAGGAAATAAACGTTGGTTATGATATTGTAGAACAAGTCCTAATTGCTGTCCTCTGGACTCACTCTAGTTTGTCAATGTCCCCACTAGAATGCAGCAGTCCCCAGCAACTCCACTTTGAAGTATAACTAATATTTATCTTGTGTACTCAGAGATACATACAAGACCGTTCATCACAGCACATCATCTTGACAAACAAGAAGCAAGCCAAATTTCCTTTCAAATAAGAATATATGAATAAGTTTTAATATACTCACAAATGGAATATTTTACAGCAGTAAAATGAATTAACTCTAGCTACTTGTAACAAGTCAGACTTTCTCAACCAGGTTCCAAAAGAAAATTAAGCTGCAATCAATCATTCAGTCTAAAGCAATCATTGAAGGTAATGAGATAACTTCTCTCCAACACATCTAATATTTAGTGTACTACTTATAGAACATCCTTGGAAAATTAAGAGTGTAGCCACTCAAATAATTTCCTTCTTCTGTGGTCTGAATGAGGACCTCTGGCTGGAAAAGACCAAGGTACGTGAATCTCAGAAAACAACAACAAATACAAAAGCAAGTGGCAGAAGGCTACATACAACATAATACCACTTTAACACAATTCAATTCAAATTTAATACAATTTAATTTAAAACAAGTAAAAAAAGGTATAGGTAGAAATATACATATAACATGGAAGAATTATCTTGAAAGCAAGAAAATAACAAAAAAATTCAAGACTACTACTTGGGCAGAGGAAGAAAATACAGATTCAATGGTCTTCAGAATATTCTAATTCTTAAACTGGGAATAAAATTTTTAAATTGTCACTTTATTATTTACTTTGTGATTTATACTTTACATGTATTCTTTCTTATACACCAAAATAATACATGATAAAATATTTTCAATATATCAGTAAAGTCTGAACACAATATCTCAAATGTGACCTGACCAATCCCGCAGAATTTAGTAAAAGCAGTCACTGCATGGCCTTTGTTCTGTCCCTTTGGCATCTGTTACCATGGCCTGGAGCTCTTTTTAGACAACTATAATAAACTCAGCTAATATCCATTGATCTCAAAAAATTCAAGTACTTTTCTTCTCTTTCACAGTTTGGTCAGTTCTTCTCCAGTGTGCAACTTTGTAATGATTTTTTTTTAACTGACACAAGAACAATCACTATTAAATGTCATTCTCAGACACTTGCCTAGCATGCCTAAGGCCCTGTGTTTGGTCCCTAGCACCACAAACAAACAAACAGTTATTCAGTCTCTCTGAACCCATCCTTTAGTCTGATCTTTAAAACCCCTTAGTTGACATTTAATTTTTAAGTGGTTTTATTTTGTTTTGTTTTTACAGCTTTCTTACCCACCACCAAGTAAACAATGTCTTCCAAGTAGTTATTCAAATTCTCAGTATCCTTTACAAACAAGTCAAGGACAAGGGCAAAAATCTGTAACATGCCACTTTAGATCTCTCTATAGAACACCCTTGATTGAGAAGAATTTGCAATCGGCAAGGAATCTATCTGTTACAGTCTGGACATGAGATGACCTCCAAAGGTTCATGTGTTGAAGGATCGGTCCCCAGCTGGTGGTGTTATAGGGAAGTGGTAGAAACTTTTCAAGGTAGGGCCTTAGCTAAGATGTCACTAAGGGTGTGCCTTTGAAGGGTATTAACCTTGTCCCCAGTGCATGCATGCATTGCAATGCGCTCTCCCCACTCACTCCCTTCAAGGAAGCCATGAGGTGAGCAGCCTCTGCCACATGCTCTCACTGCCTTACCTCACATCCAAAGCAATGGAGACAACCAATCTTGGTCTAAAACCTCTAAAGCCATGATCCAAAATAAATCTTTCCTCCTCTAAGTTGATTTTCTTAGGTACCCTGTCAGCGATGAAAGCCGATTAAACTATAATTTTACCTGTTTATAAGGAGAAACTCTCAAATGTCTTATTGAAATCTATTTATCTATAGTAATATTAGTTTTTGAAAAACAACAACAGGCCAGGCATGGTGGTGTACACACCTATAATCCTAGTGGCTTGGGAGGCTGAAGCAGGATTGTGAGTTCAAAGCCAGACTCAGAAAAGTGAGGTGCTAATAAGCAATTCAGTGAAACCCTGTCTCTAAATAAAATACAAAATCAGGCTGGGGATGTGGCTCAGTGGCTGAGTGCCCCGAGTTCAATCCCTGGTATCCTCCCAACCATCAAAAATTTAAAAAAAAAAAAAAAGAGAGAGAGAGAGAGAACAACACACCTTAATTTTAATGACACCTCCCCCAAGTAATTTTTTAGCACAAATTATTTTAATGTTTCTAGCCTTTTATTCACAAAAATTAATAACCATCCAGTTCCCATTACAATAAGAAAAACAATGAAGTCCTGCCCTGAGGCCAAATGCTCTGCTTAGGCCTAAAATAATATTAAATATTGAATATGAAAATATATGTGGCCCATTGCCTGATACTTAACTAGCAATTTCCCCAAATTCATTTTCTTCCCTCAAAATGTCCATTGAGGTTTTATCTGCTTTTTAAACAAAAACTAATAACAGGCCAGTCCCAGTGGTGCACACCTGTAATCCCAGCGGCTCAGGAGGCTGAGGCAGGAGGATAGCGAGTTCAAAGCCAGCCTCAAAAAAGCGAGGAGCTAAGCAACTCAGTGAGACCCTGTCTCTAAATAAAATACAAAATAGGGCTGGGGATGTGACTCAGTGGTGAAGTGCCCCTGAGTTCAATCCCTAGTACCAAAACAAACAAAAACTCTGTGACCCAGTGGGAGGAACAGAATGCATGGCTATAGTTATACAATGGAATAATAAAACACCTGAAATCTGGGAGAATGCCATAAAAATGACCTCAAAATCTATACTGATGTAATAGATGCCTAAAACACCATCAAGTATTTAGGACTTTCTCTGTAATTAAGTATTCAAGAAACTCTCAAACTCAGTGAATCACCAAAAATAAACAAACAAAAAACCCTTGAAAAATCTGATCAGTCTCTGAGTAAACAGAAAAGACAAATATAAATTACTTCTATGAACTGAGCTATAATCTAACGGATTCAACATCAGTGAAACATGATTTTAAAATAATTTACTTCAGAGTCCTTTGTGGATTCAAATAACATCCACATGATGCTATTAAAGAATTAAGGGTATAGAAAAAGGTTATCTTTTAGGTGATTTCAAAGAAGGACTTTTGCAGACAGTGCAAAGAAAAGACATGTAATTTACTTTGCTCCTCATTTTTTGTGCCCTGTGTTAATCAGGTATTTGCTTTAGGATAAAGACTCTTCCCTCTCATAGTCCAGCTCCTCCTATTGTGAATTCTACTCATGTGTACACAGAATTGTAATATATATCCATGGAAATATATGTAATATCACTAATTTGGCGCCTTTAATTTTTCTGAAGCAGTAAGTGAAAGAGAGGTAAAGCTAGGAAAGGGAACACCCTGATGAAATACAAAGAGCTTTCATCAGCAGCAAAACACAGCGTAGCGTAAACCATTACGATGAACAAGCAGAAGGCACAGTGATGGGCAGACTGCTGGAGGTAATTTTCCATGATGAGAACTGGAATCTTAAGTGCCTCCTCCTTATAAAAAACACTTGTGCTTATCTGCACTACATGGAATTTTAGTTGACAAAAGGCAGCAAAACTCAACAGTCATAGCCATAAATAGTTACCCAGAACACCATAATAAATTCTTGCAAAAATACTAATGGTACGTAGCACCAATTTTTAAAGGTGTAAAATCTCAGACAAACATATGGTTATTTTCCAAATGGAAACAAATCTTTTCAATTAGATCTCTCAGGATTTCTGTTTTAAGCTGCTTGTGGATGCTTAAGCAAGTTAAACTGTTTGGCTTACTTCAAAGAGCTTAAAAACTGGTGGTATTTTAATTGACTGTTTACTTTTATAAAAGCAATACATTTAATTAACAAATCTTTATCCAGTGCCTACTATGTGCCAGGCACTGTTCTAGGCTCTGGAAATACAGCAAGAAATAAACCAGGAAAAATCTCGACCCTCATTAATAAGAGAAGACAAACAAGAACCAAAATAAGATTTATAAAAAACAAAAAAAATGTTCAATGACGATAAATTTTCTAAGGAGAAAATAAAGGATGGGAGGAATGTATGGGTGACTGAAAGAACTTTGGTTTTGACTCTGTGAATGAGAGAACTGCTGTCAGACTCTGAATAAGACAGCTACATAATCTGACCATCTTAACTGAATCAATCTGGGCACTGTGCTGATGAGAGACTGAAGACAGGCAATGATAGAAGCTCAGGAACTAGAGAGGAGGCACTGCAAGATTCCAGCCACTGGTAGGCTGGACCTGGATTGGCAGCAATGGAAACAGTAAGAAGGGATTAGGTTACAGATCTACTCTGAATATCTAACAATCAAGATTTAAGGAAAGATAGGTAGTGGGCATTGACAGAGAAAAACCAAGGATAATTCCAGGGTATGTGTGTATGTTGCTTTAAAAACAACAACAAAAAAACCCTACAGTTTTAATATCAAATAATAGTAGTCAATTGTCTTTCTCCTTCCAGTCCCTAATTCCAGCTCCTCAGAGGCAGTCACTTCCATATCTTTTAACACTCTCTTCTGGTGTTTACTGCCATTTTCTAATTCTATACTGATAGCACTGAACTTTTCCAGTTCAAATATTACCCACTGTCTTTTGAATATGAAGTGGGAGGATTTAGTTGGCTCACACAATGCCCATTAGCTTTATATACATATGCACACAACTAAAGGCATGGTCTCTTCTCCCCAAACCACAATTCTGAATAAAATCAACATTCAGAACTGACTCATAAAGACTACACAAATATCCTTCAAATAGTGCATTATGAGGACCTCTCCTTGCATAGGTTTTACTTACACACACACACACACAATTTTTTTGGCCTTTCAAATCAGTTATCTAACAGGCTACTTTCAATATCAGCCAACATCACAAGTAATATAATCT